CTTTGGTCCTGGCTACTGGCGCCCATCTGCACCAGAGATCAACGTAACGTCACGCTGCAGTTATATTATAGCTGCATCACGAATGCTTCAGCTCGATTGGAGAAGGATCACCTTTAAAGTATGCCAACGTGAAATACCAGCTGCTGCTTTATGTGGTGAGTGTAGAGAACCAGAAAGTCTTTTACTGGGTAACTATACATTCCATCTTTGTCCTCAAGGGTTACAACATATATTTTGATTTTTAATCGAGGAAAGATTAAGGTGCAGCATCCACTTACCATCAGGTGGACTCTGCTCGTTTGTCATGTGTCAACTCTATAAAAAATAAATTTCAAACAAAAAAGGCAACAGATGTGTTGTCCTCTCTAAGGACTAGGATGGAATGCCTCACAGCCTGTAAAAGTAATGACCTTCCATCTCCATCAGACCATAACACTCACAATACAGCGCAGAATGCTCGCATTTTACTCAAAAGTACGTACAAAAAGGTACCATTTCGGGCTTTAATATTCTAACAGAGTTCCATCCCTGCTGGCACCAATAAAATTATTAGTTGCAAATTTAAGTGATTCTTTAGAACGTGATCGTGACGTGACGTGAAGTAAAATATCGTATGGAAGCTTGCATACTTGAGATGCTAAAAACATTTTTATATACTTTGAAGCAAGGGTAAAACGAGCACACAGAGCACTTTATGGAGCACTGGACGATGTAGCTGAGTTTATATTTAATTTCGAGGAAATGTGAAATCTGCCTACACGCCGTAAGCGTCCTTCCTTCCCAAGAATAGGCCCTTCTTTTTTGATTTAATATATTATTGAGAAGATCGACATAAAACCTGAAAAAAAAATGTACTTTAATAAACACTTTAATGTAAAAATCTTAGCTAGTTAATTTTTTACAACTATACAAATAAATAAAATTGAAGTGTCTGTTTGTAATGTCAAAATTATAGTTTTTTACTAAATGCATATGAAAGTATATACGGTACTTACAACAAAAACACAATTTTTAAAATTTTTGTCTTATGTCTGTCTGTCTGTCTGTCTGTTTGTTCCGACTAATCTCCAAAACGGCTGGACCGATTTTGACGGGACTTTCACTGGCAGATAGCTAAGTAGTAACTTAGGCTACTTATATTTTAGAAAAATAATTAGGATTCCGCGCAACATAATTAAAACCCTAAATTACACGCGGGCGAAGTCGCGGGGAACAGCTAGTCTTCAATATAAATCTTAAAACAATTTTATACAACCATGATGATCTATGAACATGTTTCTTCAATGTTAGGTGTTAGCCGTACAAAAAAGTTCAAACTAAGAGTATCTGTCCTTTATTATCAAATTACAATTATACTGATCATTGCGCTTCCCATCCATTTTCTACTACTTTAATTAAATAAGTAACTGTTAATTTTAACTTATTTACTGGTTAGGCTCTTGTGTGCTCGTATGCACGAATTGAATGATAGCACATTGCTACTACAACTGCATAGTCAAAAATCACTTGACATTTTAAAACTCTTATGAAGGTCTAATCCAAAGCAAGGTTCTGTAGTCACGTCACGTCACGAACCTCTCGAAGATTAATGCAGGTTCTTATAATAGTGTTGACTATTTTGATAAGTTTAGAATTAAAAGAAATATCTTTAACGAAGTAACTAGAAAAAACTTAATTAGTTTATTCTTTATTTACAATTATTTATGTCTTCACGTTACGATATATGAAAAACAATTTTGGTCCGATTTTCCACATATTTACCTACACAAAGCTTCTATAAAAAGCAAATCTTATAGCTTTTCACAGTTAGCGGGATATTTTTTGTTTACATCGATATTTATTTATTTATTCATACATTTATTTACTTATTTAAATGAAAAAATACAAAGGTAGTTTCCATAAAATTTTAAATTATCTTGCAAATAATTAAACTAAATCTGACAACTACTTTCAGTAAACACCGCTTGCTAAGACGTAAAGAGATTTAAAGCTTAAAAACGAAATGTATCCAAATAAAAAAGAAAAAATTATTTATTATTATTATATTTATTATAATACTAGCTGGTCCCCGCGACTTCGCCCGCGTGTATTTGGGGTTTTAATTTTTTTTTCCGCGGGACCCTAATTCTTTTTCTAAAATAAAAGTAGCCTAAATTACTCCTTGTGATATCAGCTATCTGTCAGTGAAAATCCCGTCAAAATCCGTTCAGCCGTTTCGGAGATTAGCCGGAACAAACAGACAGACAGACAAAAACTTTAAAAATTGTATTTTTGTTATTAGTACCGTATATACTTTCATATGTATTAAGTAAAAAGCTGTTATTTTGACATTACAAACAGACACTTCAATTTTATTTATTAGTATAGATTTATTTTTTTCGTAATCAAGACCAATTAGATGCTTCCAAATGGATTTCCGGTGCGCATTTAAGGAATCAGATAAACTCTGATCTCTGAATCGTTCATAACACTGACATCATTAACATGGCCTGGGTACTGGAGAGTTTGTGGCCGTGAAAGGTAAAGAGAAGACCTCCTGCCGGGAAGGTGTTCTGCCCGGGGAGCGTCCAACGCTCTGAGTGGTAGTTCTGAGCTGTTCTATGTATACTGTTTCGACCTCGGAACTTTGATAGCGCGATTAAGGCTTCGATGTATTTAGCTTGTGACCCAACGACAGCGCCGCCAGAGGTCGATAGTACGTTCTAGATTTCGACGAATGTGCAAGTGCCAGGGAATTGCCTTGTAATCTGCGATGAGTTGAGAAGAAGGCAAGTAATCTGCGAGAGTGCCGTGAAGCAGAGACGAGCAGTAAGGTTCAGAGCCGTGCCGAAAGCTGTAGTGCAGAGAGTAGCTTGAAGGAACAGTAAGTATTATTATTCCAGTGCTGCGATACACCTTTGTAAAGCTAGATGGCTTGCAGAATGTGCAGAAGTGAACGAATGGGGTACTTGAGCACGATAACGAAGGTTGTTAGTTGCGTGTTTACATCACGTTGATTACTCACCAATGTGGTCGTGAAAGGAAAAGGGGAGATCTCCCGCCGGGCAAGGGGTTCTGCCCGGGAAGCGGTCAACCCTAGTGTACGTTCAATGCTCCGAGCAGTAGTTCAAAACTATTCTATATATACTGCTTTTACTTAGGAACTTTGATAGCGCGATTTAGGCTTCGTTGTATTTAGCTTGCGGCGCGACGACAGCGCCGCCACAAGTTTATTCCGAGTACAGTTTTTCTAAGCGTAGTCCACAATGGTAATCCTTCAATCCTAAGTCCTTGTAATTCTGGAAGGAACGCGTGGTCTAAATAAACTTCACCGACCATCAAAGGTATACATTCAAATTTATTTTCTAAAATTGTTTGAACCATCATTTGGTTCCCTGCGGTTTTTTAACGAATGATGAAATAAAACACTTTTGTATGCACTCCAATCGTAATGATTATACAAATTAGTGTGGACGCCACACTATGCTACAATATTCTAATACACTCCGGACTAAACTTTTGTAGAACAATATTTAGCCACTACGCTTAAGCATTTTACTGTTTCTGAATAAAAGACTAATGTGCTCATTGAATTCACTGTGTTTCATAATGATGTAAGTCATTGCACTTCCTTGGAAATGTCATATGATAACACTTTTTATTAAGTTGCATTTTATTCTTAATACAAGATTCTGTGTGAGTGATTTGATAGATCATTATAAACAAATTGAAAAGCATGGAACCCAGATGAGACCCCTGTGGAATACCTGAGGTTCACAAATTAGGTCCTTGTATACTATATGTAAGCATAGTTAGTGAATAGATGCAGCATTTTCTTAACAAAGACGGTAAAGTTTGGATGAATACCTCATAGCTTCCAGTTTGCAATTAAAATAAATCACCAGACAAAATATCCAGACTGGAGAAGGAAATTTACTTCCCTTTCTAAAGATTGAGGTATCTGTTACTATCAATATGTGTGTAATTCATATTACTTCAAAAATTGCATCGATACTATAGGATATAACAATATGTAGTTATTATGTAATGTCACCTACTTAATCATTACAGTCCATCAGAAGGGCGCCGCTGAACACAGATCTCTGCATGATTCATCAGGTCTTCACATCGTAGTTGCGGGTCACCCAACACTGTGCTTGCCTATACGAGGCTACTACTTGGAAACATTTCCTCACCACTGGTTATCAGTTCTTCAAACTATATATTATATTATGTCTGAATCTATTGTAATTAAAGTTAAAAATTCACTGACAAGAGCTGATTTCTTTAATTTTATTTGGCGTGTGGATAATATATTTCTTCAACAACTAACGAAAGTAGTTGAGTGTATTTTACATATACTTGAAATAAGTTACTTAGTGTCTTCTCTGATAAGTTTATAGAAAAAATTTCAAACTTATGTGCCATCGTAAAATAAACTGATATAATTGAAACAATTACGTTACCTGCTCGCAAGTTGCTTCCTCGAATTGCTACAGGTAATAAAAAGGTTTGGTCATAAAACAAAACATTTATAATTTAAAATTCAACGTTTACAATGTACAAAGACCGCCCGACATGCTGCCTTGTCATATATTAAAATGCAAAAACGCTATAAAATAGTTAAAAAAGCTTATAACAAAAATAAGGGAACTGACAAGGAACGGACACTCAATATTCTTATTAATTTAAATTTACATAACGTATTTAAGCTAATTGCTGTTAGCATGGAATTGGATATGGATAATCTAATTTCAATTGACATTTTATTGACCACGATTACAGATATACTTGTAATAAAGGTTTCCATTAAACAACCATTTGCATTTCTTAACAACCTACGTTGTAGCGAAATGCTCAGCGAATGTAAATTTATAATTTTAGTTTTTATTTATGCTTTTGCGATTTGCTTATATGAAGGATTAAAATTAATTTAGGAATAATTTAAGCATTATTGATTTCTAGAGTTATTTTGGGCGTAAAAACAATAATTTACTTGACGGGAGGCTCATTGTTCACAGGAGCTTCGGCGCTAAATGCTCAAAATGCTGTCGCGGCATTTCTTCATCAGACTGGGTGCGAAAAGCTCGTGAACAAGTTTACCACCTGGCCTGCTTTGCGTGTGACGCCTGTGGCCGTCAGCTCTCTACCGGCGAACAGTTTGCATTACACGAAGATAGAGTTTTATGCAAGCCGCACTACCTGGAGACTCTGGACGGGGGTTCCATTTCCTCTGATGGTAATTTTTTTTTACGTTTCTGGTAAATTGTAGGATAATTTCAGTGTCCCATCAGTTCGATAACTAAAATTTGTTTTTGTAAATTTCTACAGCTCTGTGCACAGCTTTCCCTAATTTTTGGGAGAATTTTCGAGAATGAAATACAAGCGGCGAATGCTTTGCTCTGCTTTGTTTTGGAGAGTGCACATATCTTCAAAATGTTTTCTTGATTTCTTAGCTGATCAAGTAGCACTTCGAATCGTAAATACAAATTTCCTTTTTACTATCAGATATAGAATGCGGAACTGACGTACTTAACCACTTGCTTAAATTTACAGCAAGCGCTTATCCCCCGAGCTACTACAGCATTCAATCAAACTTTACTTTATATTAGGACTCCATTTAGAAGTCAGTCTGTGAGGTACCATTGTCTTAAATATTTCTTACAACAATGCCTGCATTGTTATGTTTCGGTTTAAAAGGTATAAAAAGCCAGTATGATGTACAAGCTAAAAGAAATTTCATCAAAGTCCTCATAAATGACAACACATCGACTCCAGTAGCCAGTTACCATCAGGTGGATTGTAATTTCGTTTGTTACTTCAGTTTTATTAAAATAATTCTAGTATTACCAGTATTTTTATTTATTGATTTAATATAATATAATCGTAAAAATAAAGGGTAACGTATAAACTAAAATAAAAAAAACCAATTCATTAATTGAAAACCTTACACTATGTGTTACATATATCTATTAATTATTTCACTAATATTATATTAATTTGGTTATAATATAATTCTAGATGGCTGTGACTCCGAAGGTTATCACAAAAGCAAGGCCAAGCGAGTCCGGACCACATTTACAGAAGAACAATTGCAGGTTCTTCAAGCGAATTTTCAACTGGACTCAAATCCTGACGGTCAGGATCTAGAGAGGATTGCGCAAGTCACAGGGTTGAGCAAGAGAGTCACACAAGTGTGGTTCCAGAACAGTCGCGCCAGGCAGAAGAAACACCAACATACTGGAAAAGGGAAACAGAATCAACGTTAGTATATTGCCCGTAGATTTTATTTAGCTAAGTGCCTGATTTGTTTTAGACGTTGAGTGTGTATAAAATTATTTTTACTTAATATTTTATTTAGGCGAAATATTTCTGGCTTTTTGCGTTAGTGTTTATAATACTGCATATTAGCGAATTTTTTTTTGCCAATGCGAATTGTAAACAAATATTTATTTGACGTTTTGTATCTCTTGTAAAATGTTAAACGTGTGTTGATTGCAGTGATGTCGCGAGATACGGATCCGGCGGGGTTTGGGCGGCCTATCAACCTCCACCTTACATATTCTTTCCAGAACAAACCGCCTTTTGTCCCAATAGGTGAGTGTTTTAGATTTATAAATTATTTAGCTATAGTTGGAGAATTAAGTACTTAATACATATTAAGCAAAAATAAAGTTATTAACATTTTTAGGCAAAATTATCACAGGACACTCAGTTAATGGTCCTCTTCAATCTATTGTGGGAAGTCAGGATGTGTCAATTAACAAAGTTGGTCCCTATTTTAATGTATGGTACTGAAACTTGAGTATGGCAGAAAAAGTATTTAAGTATGCTGTAGAAATGCTGTCATTAAGAAGTATATAAAGGGAGGACTGACTGATATGGTCAGAAATAGTGTGATTTGCAAGAAGATTTCGTCAGGATTAAGGAAGAACTGTGGAAACTGTAGTGTAGAAAGAATGAATAAGGAAAGAGCGATAAAGCAAATGAATGCTGAAGAAGTGTGTGGTAGAAACTGCAGGAGACGCCTAAGGTGGAAATTCATCGACGAAATTTATTACGTATATTATTACGTGGTAGCGCCATGCTGCAGCTATATTAGTAGTGTAGTTGTTGCATGAATGGGTCAGCTCGATCGGGGAAGGACCACGCTATCACAGAATACCAGCGTAAAATAGCAGCTTAACACTGCTGTGTTTCGTATGGTGAGTGTAGATAACCGGAGACGCTTTTTACTGGAAAAGAGGCATTCCTTCTTAGTCCTCACGGGTGACAACGTATCTGCATTTTGATTCTTTATTGACGATAGATGTGGTGCTCGTTTGTCACCATATCCTATAAAAAAATGAATTGGCGATATATTGAAGAAGGACTACTCTCCGGTGAGCATGTATGCGTAGATATATGAATCTGAGAGAAGCGAGAGAGGAGTGTCGAGATTACGTGACAGTTTTTGAATATCGCTGAGTCTGTAATTAATACTTAATTTAACAGCTTAACAGTGGTAGAGCCACGCGGCAGCTTTTGCTGTCGCACGGATGGGCCGGCTCGAACCAGGGTGGTACCACGACCTCACAGAAAACCAGCGTGAAGTAGAGGTTTACCTCTGCGTTTCGCTTGGTGAGTGCAAGAGGCCGGAGGCCCTTTTTACTGGAAATGAGGCATTCCATCTTAGTCCTCACGGGTGACAATGCATCTACATTTTGATTTGTAATAGAGGATCGATGTAGATGTCTATGGGCCGCAGCAACCACTTACCATCAGGTGGACTGTGTGCTCTTTTGTCACCCTTATCCTATAAAAAAAAAAAGAAAAAAATATTGTAAGTAGTAGACGTGGCCTAACAGAAATATTATTTCTGTTTTCAGACGGCACCTCTTTCACGGACTCTTCAATGGATGAACTATCAGAGGACTCATCTATTCACTGCATGCAGAGTGAAGTTTGAACAGCCAATGACTAAACATAAAATATTCTTGCTGATAAATATTCTGTAGATAAATAACTCACATGTAACTTTAAGATATACGTTCCAGCTTGTGTGTGTTGCTTAATAAATATGAAAATGTCGCCGAAATCCAGATAGAATTACAAAGTTCTTCGGAAATAATGTTTAACGGCTTTCTTTATCCTTCATAAGCATCACATTATTCACTGCTAAACCGCTTGTTAACTTCTGTATTAGATTGATAATTTAATATAGACGTATAGTTGTGTCAATTTTTTGGATTCGTTCAAAGTTCAGTGTCACTTAAAAAACAATTACTAGTAAATGTATAATACAAGCCCTAATTGCCAATCACAAGCCTAAGTTGTTGCAATCAATCGATTCATGTTAAATATGCAGCCGATAAGTAAGCTAGATATTCTTGTTATTTTTCTTTTTAGAAAGTTCTCTGTTTGAATTTTATATTACCACTAGCTGTTCCTTGCGACTTCGCCCGCGTGTAATTTAGGGTTTTAATTTTGTTGCGCGGAACCCTAATTATTTTCCGAAATATAAGTAGCCTAAGTTACTCCTTATAACTTTAGCTATCTACGAGTGAAAGTCCCGTTAAATTAGGTCCAGCCGTTTCGGAAATTAGCCGGAACAAACAGACAGACAGACAGACCAAAATTTTAAAAATTGTGTTTCTGTTATAGGTATCGTATATACTTTTATATGCAATTACCAACTTCAATTTTATTTATTTGTATAGATAAGTCGCATGTAGCGACTTGACTAAGCGAGATGAAGTGATGAATAGTTATCAAACGATTACGCTTTTGCAGATAAATGGTAAAGATATTTCATCTCACGATGGCGGGCGGGCCTTTATTGTAGTTGTGGTATGCAGAAGCACGTGTGCTTGTGTTCGTCCAAGTAGTGTTAGCCGGCTCATCGTAGTTAAACATAATTAAAGTTACCTAAGTACGTTTAGCTAATTATTTATTTACATCAACGCGTGTTCCCAACAGAACACATATAAAAACGCCAACACTCAATTAAAACACATCTAATCTCTCTATTATACAAAAATACAAATAAAATATAGCTATGTAGTGAAATAAAATAATTTTTCGTTTACAACAAAATTTATTGTTTACAAAAAATTAATTTCGTTACATTTAAATCACAGTTTCAATTTTAATAACTTCGCACGTTGTCTTGTGAAAATGTACAATCTAGCGAAAACTTCACCTAAAATATATAAATATATGCGTTCTGCTTTTTACCAAAGAACTCAATAATTATTTTCTCACATCGCTACTACGCCACCAGCCGCACTATAGCAAGACACATTATAGCATTATCGCTCGGTGACAGCGACAACTCGGATACAGACTCGGATCAGTCGCGCGACCGATCTGCACATTGTAAAAGGGCGAGCGGCCTGTGTGAGTGTGAGTAAACAAATCCGATACAAGACGCCCGTTATTGTAGTTTTTAAGTTTAAGAAGAAGTAAATAGTAATAATGTGATTAAACATTACTTATATTATGTCAAAGGTAACGCCATCTTTTTTTTTAATTTGACGGGCAGATCTCATTTTGCGCCAAAAAACTAAACAATTGGGCATTATTGTAGGACGTTGATTCAGCGGCGTAATAATAGCTTAGTAAGCAGTGCCACTGCAACTACATATTTTTGCAGGTCCTGCTGTTACGCGGACCTGGACTCAGACAGAGGGAAACGCCTGCGTACTCCCCCCGATCCTTCGATCCGCCGGTGGTCCGTGTTGCTATATACATCACTACGAACAACTTTTCTTCGTTTACTAGTAACTTTTGACTCTCAAGCTTACACACACACACTAAAGTATTGTGCATATGCATTTACACAAGAATGATCAACCCGTATTCGTGAGATGTATAGTATTACAGTAATCAGGAAGATGAACTCTGTTGCAACGACTGTCTTGTTATTTATTTTGTTCGCGTATTTGAAACTATCTTTATTGAATTACTGAATAACACAATTTGCATTACTATTTACTTATATGTGTAACTACAATACAGATACAACTACCAATAACATATACGTAAATATGTTTGACTACAGGAGACTATTGACATCAGTAACTGGTATTTTTTATCCCTAATACGATTTCTAGACAGCTCATAGAAAATATTACAATTGACTTGAGCATCAACTACTTTATCAACATCCCCTTGATACAGGATTGCATTGTATCTTATTGCATAAAACGTCCCAGACGACGAGTGACGATCACAATGGCGGCTTATAATAAACGTTATAAGGTTATCGGCGATGCAGTTTCAATGTTTGAATTTGATTAAACTATTTTATTATAAGTATGTTATAAATATATATTATGCCATTACGCGTTTAAAGTAGGTAATATTTCATATTTGAAAAGGAATGGTAACGAACGAGCAAACAGCAGATGCGTTATCACCCCTGAGGACTAAGATGCAAGGCCTCGTTTCCAGTGAAAAGGGTCTCCGGTTCTCTACACTCACCATAGGAAACACAGCAGCATTAATCTGCTATTTCACGCTGGTATTCTGTGAGAGCATGGCCGTGCCGACCCATTCGTGCTGCTGCCATCACACAGCTGCAGTTTGGCTCTACCACGTAACTACTTTCCATGCTTTATTTGCGTTCACTTGTTATACACACATTCGTTTCAAGTGACGCCAAACTTCTTGACACGCACTCACACACACACATCTGCGAAGCTGGAATCACAAATTTGAACCGAAAACCATGTTGTTGTTTGCAAATGGTTTTAGTTGCATATGTATGGGTATCAGTGTGTATTTATACAATAATTTAAGCGTAGTTACGGCATGGTTTCGGTATAATCTATAATATCATTAGTGTTCATTAGTGTTCTGACAGTAGGCCAGCAACCCGGGTTCGATCCCCGTCGGCACCAATTAAATTGTTAATTGCAATTTTAAGAGTTGATTTACCACGTGTTAAAGCTGCATGTTTGAGAAATAAGAAAAAACCTATTTCGAAGACATGAAGTTCGCCAACACGAATCGGGGGCAGGCCGGCGGACACTTCCTTGCCCCAAAACCTCTCCCTAAAATGAGAGCAGGGCTGCGCCCAGTAGTGGGACGTATATAGGCTATAAATTTAACTTTAATGTTCTGATCTATGTTCTGTATAGCTTTCTTTGTTGGTTTGAGTTTATTTCTTGAAATTTAGTAAATACTTAAAAAAATTATCTTAACATAATATAGGTAATTTATTTATAATGATTTCTATTTCAATTTAAAATCATACGCAAATTAATATATGTCTAAACATTAAATTATCTTTTTTGAAACATTGTTGTATAGAAATATTTTCTCTAATTTTGATTTTTAGGTTATTTTTGTAAAATTCTAATCCTTATTGCATGTATAAAAATAAAATTTAATGTAACTAGATACTATTTTAATTTAAGAATTTTACTGTCAGTGTTATTGTAAAAAATATATTTATTATTTATTTATTTCTAGCAACTGTGATACGATCTCTGTCAAAACAACGTTTAACACTGCTATAACTGCGAATGAAATATGTGTATTGTATGTACCTAAAATAAAGTAATTTTAAGAAATTAGAGAAGCATTTTCTTAAGTAGTGCCAAAATAACGGTCATAAAGCGGTTGATTTTATTTGTAAATGAGTGACAGCACTAATAATTTCAATATAAGCATGTGCTTGACTTGGTTGTACCCTCACCTGGTGGTGATAAAGTCGGAAATAGTAATGTACACACACTAACTTAGCCTAGCAAAAGCCTATGAACTCTTGCCTTGAAGACACCCACATTATAATAGGATGGAACACAGATGCTGCCAAATTATTATGTGCATAAATAGTTGCATATAGAGCTTCAAACATGAAGAAAGAAATGGGTGTCGCTGGCATTAATTTAGTTTGACACGACTATTTTTTTAGACTGTGTTTGCAAGTTTGATCTTATTGTAATTAAAAATTACAGCATGAGATTCATTGAAAGCAGAATATAATATTCACTATGTTTGCAATTATGCATGTAATGAACTGACTTACACATATAGTATATGATAGAGTTGGACTCTACGCATCTCAAAACATGGAAATATAATTTTGACCTCCCTAAATCGAAACCATTACAATAATTTCCAAGTTAACAACCTTAATATAACAAACGTTAATTTCAACCACAAAATATTTTAATATATGTTAGAGATATAATGTATTTAATCCTAGCATGTACTTATATCCCTAGTCAAAATTCAATTACGAGTAGACATCGATCGATAACTATTTCGTGTACTCGCACTTTATGAAAATATTTCTCTGTATTCGTAAAAATGAGCATATGTAAACTATATCCTAAAACAAATTGTAAAATAAGTCATAGTACACCAACCAATATGAAATAATAATGATGGTAAAATACAAGAGCTTGCATGAAATTTTTGTAAAACACGATAAAAAACACGATATTATTAGAAGTTAGCAGGGCTTGTTTGCGATCAAGTGTACCTATGTATTAGTAGCGATAAGTAAATATCTAGTATAAATTTGTTTTTTTTGTTATAAAGGATACCTTTTGCCGCACCGGGCATTATTTGTAAAGTTTCCTTTGTAAAGTTCATTATAAATATACTTACATATATATTTTTGGGGGCGAGAGTTCATTCCACCTTCAAAAAAATTCTCTATTGAATGTTAACACGAGATATTAAATTTTTTTCTTGTGTTTATGTAAAGTTACATTTCCATTTTATTAATAATATTGTAAACCTTGATATTAATTACAAGCATTTAATTCTGTTATAAAAGGACTACATTATATTAGAATTAAATGATTGTAAGTAATGTCGGTATTGTAAATAAATCTATTTCGAGATTCTCTTGTAAATTCCATAGTGCTTCTATTTATGCAGTTAAGTATACTCGTACTTTTAGTATAATTCCATCATCTCGTCATTACATAGAGGTAATTAGATTTTAGA